CATAATACACACGTATACTAAGTGGGCGTTTGGAACATAAGAATTGTAACATTACCAAAAAAAAAGTGAAAAAAATTTAGTGAAAATGATCTTTGTAAAATTAGAGTTGTGTTTGGACATGACTATTATTTTGTGTTATTTTGAAGTTTGTGAATGATTTTAGTGAATTTTTTTTTTTTGAAAAATAGCTTTTTGGAGTTTTTCAAATTTTTGAAAAAATCTAAAAATTCATTTTCAAGTGAAATTTGAAAATTTATGGACAAACACTGATTTCAAAGAAAATAAATTCGAAAATATGTAAAAAAAATTTATGTTCAAACGGCTCTAAATCTAGTCTAAATAAAAAATATAATGAGGGATATAATTAAATAACTAGTATTAGTACCCGCGCGATGTGCGGACACAAATCATGTTAAATTTGTGATGTAAGTTGTTTGAATCATGTGCAAATAACCTTAAAATATAAACCTCTCAGATAAAAAATGTATAATATTAGATATTAATTATGAAACAGGACATGAAATTATTGTTCAAATCTCGTAGTGCATAATCTTTTTTTTTTATATTTGTAGCAACCTAACCCCTTGATTTTAGTCTTGCATTTCGTTTCGCTGTCAATATTAAAAAAATAATAAACATAACATGTTGTGATCTGTCTTGTTTGAGCACAATAGATCATATTATTTTAACAAGCTTCGTACTATCACTTTGTTTTTATCTAAAAGTTAAATATGTCTTATTCATCACATTATTTGTACACAAATTCTTTTTTCTTTTGTTTTTTTCTTATAGTTATTGTATTATTTATTATTTAATATTATTGTACTATTATATAATATATTATTAGCTTAATAATTAGATTAATGTCTTGCTTATTATTCTTTTAATAGTCTTTAATGAATAGATATGTTTTATTCTTGAAATTTGGTATATTTTTATGCTTGTATCCTCTCATTCGAATTTTTAATCAATTAAATTTATTGTAATATTATTAAATATAATTTAATTTTTCAATTTATCTATTTTTAAATTAATTTAACGTATAAGTATCCTCACACTATCTCTATTTTTATACATTCTCTTCCCTACTATAAATTTAATAAGTTTTTACATTAAGTTTTACCTATAACCAAAATAGTCTCATATTTTATCTTAAAAATTAAAATTGATGTATGCTAAAATATTAATACATAAGTTATTTGATGATTATGTTCCAAATGTATTGAGTTCTCTTATAATTATTTTTTATTTAGATGCAGTTAAATTTCTTTTTTTTTTTTTAGCTTTAAGATATAAATTTAATTTTTAATTTTCATTACTAAAGTTACCTATATTAGAAAGTTATTATATATTCTTAACATTTTATTTTAACATTAGAAAAATAATTTCTTAATTGTTTGAACATATTATATGTATGTAGTAATATGTTTACTGTCATTTTTATTTCTTCCGTAATTATTTCCAAAATAACAAAATTATGTCTCAAATACAAATAATTCTTATCATTCTATTTTCTAAATTGGAACCACAGTTTCAAAAATTATGCAATATTTTCAAACTTATACTAACTGCATTTACTTCAGATATTAATCATAGAAAAATAAAACAAATAAATAAATATTGAAATTTTTACATACTTGCTCCCTTTTTAAAAACTATTCTCATAAATGATAGTAAGCTTTGTTTATTCCAAAAACAGCACATTTTTTTACTTTTTTAGCACTTTCGCGTTAATAACTCCACTAACTAAGGGATCCCTCTACATTAATACATTTTTTACTACATTTTATTTTCCCTCGGTCTTCCATAATTTCTTTTTTCTCTTCCATAAATAACACTTACCCGAATATATCAAAGATTCTGAAAGAAGAATATCTCAAAAATATTGCCCTCTGCACAATGAGAATTTTAGTATTTTTTTTCTTTTTTTCTTTTTAAACTTTTTTCTGTACAATTTTATTTTAACTCAAAATATACCTTTAATATATTTCAAATATATTATTGTGATAATTTACAATGTAAATATTCCATCAATATGTCATATATATTTTATACCATCTATATAACTTATATATATACATCATAATATATTATTATATTAATATTATTCAAAGTATATTGCTAGCATATACCTTACATAAAATTTTATCTAAAATATTAACATGCCCCTAATATGTATATAGAAAAAAAATATGTCAATTGTCACATATACTATTTTTATATGGATAATTTATACAAATATGCATGTTACATTAGTGCAAAATATAAATGGCATATTAATAATATATATTTAAATATAAATAAGTGTATAAATAACATATGCATATATACATGATTTTTTCTATTAAAAATACATGATTTATAATATACCACAAACATACATTATATTTTTTTCATGAAATATATGTATTTTTATTTCATTGGAATATACGGATATATAATTTTGCTAGGATTAAGTTGAATAAAAAGGTCATGTATAAAAATAAAAAAAAAAATTATGGAATGGATCGATGATATATATTTTAATATAAAAACGTATATAAACAACATATGCATATATACATGAATTTCCCTAAAATACATGATTTATAATGTATATATACCACAAATCTAAGTTATATACACCACAAATATACGTTATATTTTTTCCATGAAATATATATATATATATATTTTATTTCATCATAATATAAAGATGTATAATATTAGTACATTATATTATATAAAAAGGTTCATGTATGGAAAGAAAAAAATCTGTTAGGAATGGATTGGTTTCTAACGAAAACATAAACATTTTATGGAATTGAGGATATTAAATACTAGGACTGCCTTTTTAAGCAACTTGAATCTTGCTGATTTGAATTGAATTAAATGTGCTATATGTATAAATATTTTACTGCCATATTTGTTAATTATTATTTAATGCTAATCTTTTGTATTATATTTTTAATAGTGTGCTATTAATGGAAGTAGCCCTAAAATATTTTCTTAGTTGTTTGAACACATTATATCTAAATGTTGTAGTAATATTTTCACTGTCAGATTATTTCTTATGTAAATTTTCTTTCTTTTTAGCTTTAATACAAATTTAGTTTTAAATTTTCATTAGTAAAATTACTTATATTAGAAAATTATTTTATATTTTAGTTATTTTTTTTCATAAATAAGACTTCAATTTCATGATAATATCCATAGTTTGAGCATTCTAATCATAGGTTTAACAAATTTCTAATTTCTAATTTCAAATTTAATTAGCCTTTCCCTTTCATTTCTAATAGTAAATTTTTAATAATTTAACAACTTTGCTAACTTTTTAAGTATTATATATTTAATTTTAACAACTTTCAAATTTTTAATTTAAAATTCAGTTAGCCTTTCCCTTTAATATTAAGTTTGTATATTTAATTTACTTTATTTTCTAAACTTATGATTTATAAATATCCTCACATTATCTCTAATTTATTTCTATTGTTCAATATTTTTATTTTTTGATTTTATCTATTAGACTTGAGTTACGTGGACCTATTCATATTATGACTTTTCTTATCGAAATATAAAAAACTTTCTTATCTCAAATTTAAAATTTTACCGTTTTTTCTATGATAAAAAATCTAAGAAAAATTTCTTTATTTATTTTTTATTTTGATATTATACTATTCAATACCTAATATTAGTATTTATTAGCTTCTTAGAATTTAATATCTATTTCTACCACACTCATTCTAATATAATATAGATAAAAATTTAAACTCTTTCTCAAATTCTAATAAGATTTATTATTCTATTTTCTAAATTTGATTGTATTTTCAAAAAATTATGTTATGCTTTCAAACTTAAACTAACTGCACTCAATTCAATATTAATCACAAAATAATATTTTCTTAATTGTTTGAACCATTATATCTTCGGCCAGGTCTGGATATATCTAAAGTCGATCGGTTTTAATGAGGTCACCGACTTTGTAGATTTCACCGGCATTTGAAAGCCCACCGGTAAGGGTTCTGCCTCGATAGAACAGTGACGGGGAGATGGGGGAGGGTAAAGGGTGGTTGCGATTGAAGGGGAGGTCGCCGCCTAACTGGTCAGCACCCCCGGAGGCAGCAATTGGTGCCGATGCGGCGGAAGAAATGGAGGGAGAGAGGAGCCGACAGCTGCTATGTCAAAATGAGGGAAGAGATGGTAAAGAAGGGTTCTTTTCTTCTTTAAATGTTTTTTGTGTTGTTAATTACATGTGTCAAATTTTTATGGCAAAATTACACGTGTCATTTTTTGATTGGTCCATTTGACATGTTATTGGCATGTGCAATTCAGCACACAGCCTGCTGTATTCGGGTATTTACTTGACCTACTTAATAGCCGCTTGTGTTAAAATGAGATATGGCTCGGTTGAGGTGTTCGATTGAAATATGCAAGAAACTTCAATCTTAACTGCTGACAACAACAAATACGGTGCAGATTTTGAAGCCATAAAAGTCACAAAAATTAACATCATTATGAAGTCGTACATCTTACATGAGGCAAGGAACCTCTGATCATTCCTACCTAAGTCTTCTCTATATTCTTGGATATTGATGTACTCAAGCTTGCAGTCGTTCAATTCCTCCTCTGCAGTACATAGATATTAGAAGTTAATTTCCAGCAAGTTTCCCCTCACAAAATAAATTTATGCCCATAAACAAAAGATAGATATCAAATTATAAGCTACTACAAATTAAATGGACAAAGAAGCTCCATTTTAACCGCGACTATTACAGTTTTACTGCTTCAGGACACAAGATTGTTCACTATACATACAAAGTCAGGGAAGCGTGGAGGGTTATGAAGCATATAAAATAACCACAGAACTCAGGGGCCAGCACTTTCCGTTTAATTAAATTATTGAGCCGAGTAAAAACAAGATAATTAGCAACCATTCCAGAATATCAACATTTTATGCATTCACTAGCTCGATCATCACCTAAATGGGAATGGACAAGATTTATATATGTCACAGCAACGGCGAGGATTCATATATAACTCTCTCGAGCAGATCTAAACTTCGTATTCTGAAAGACTGACAAACCAAGGATATATCCAATCTCCCTAAACAATTACCTTACGCTTCTTCTGTTGTTTGATTCCAGCGCTGCTGTTATCAAAGTTTGTTGATTGTTCAGAAGCATCCCCTAAAGGCAAACTTTTTATCTCGTCATAGAAACTATCTGTCAGCCCAAACAACCTAGCACAATTAAAGGGAAGAGATTAACATCCACTTAGTCCATTTAACAAAAAACAGAGCTCCACCTAATCTGCCGGCACTCTCCAGACTACGCATACATTAAGTTTCTACGTGAAATGATCAAAAGACTGACCATAAAGTGCTTTTCTTTTTAATTAGTAAGACTGACCATATAGTTCCTACAAAACTTACCCATTTCTTGACTTCTTCAGATGTTTCATTTTCTTTTTTTCCAACTTTGTGAGTGGGGCACGAGCAAACGTCTCCTCTTCTTGTCGTGCACGTTCTTCCATTTTAGCCATGTACTCTCTGAGTACTCTACTTTCAGTTCCAACAACTTCTCTTACCTGTATTTTCCACCGAAAGCAATAGTAAAATACAGGAGGGGTCATTGAAATATATCAGTATTAATAGTCAGATAGTGAATTACCTCTTCGGGTCTACCTTCAAGATTATTCACCAAATCTATCATAAACGGGTTTTGTCTAGCCTTTCGCAAGTCCATTGTCTCCTTCCTCGATTTATTTCTCTCCTGCCTCGACATTTTATCTTCTTCCATAGGAGCAGGTACAAGTTTGGGGGGTCGATATACATTGCTGCCATCCTGTAGCTCAAGACAAGAAACATTCAACCATCTCTTTTATTTTAGGAAATCATATGGGAGATTGAGAGAGTAAAATCATAACATCAACTTTTTGAACTGCTAATGATCGAGTCAACTCTTTGAACAGGAAGAGCAAAAAGGAACTAAAATGGTCATTTCATGGTCAAGTACCAATCACCCACCTCTGTGCCACGTGTTTTACTAACAAGCAAATCAGGATTTGGACGATACTTCAACAGGTCCTCCTTCTGGGTATCTGTTCCCTTCTCACTTATAACTGACTTCTCAGAAGCAGCGTCACTATCTCTTGTGAGCTTCTGAATTTGATACTGTAGTTTCTTGTCGATGGGGCGAATCTGCACAGAGCATCACGGTAAGGACACTGCAATTAGGAGCAGAAAAGTACCCAAGAGGAGCTGGAGAGACAGGATTACCCAAAAGCGGGAAGAGCTTCAACATACCTTCTCCAAAAACAATCTTATCTCGACTAGACTCCGAATAACTGGATGCCCTTCAATTGAGAATCCTTTTGCCTTGCGGAGCAGATAATAGACAAGTGATTGGCAATAATTCAGAAGTAGTAGATGCTTCGTTTCAAGGTAACTTATTCCTTCTGGTGTTGGAAAGTGACCCGCTTTCACCTAAAGACAAATTGCATGGGGATTTTGGAAGAAGAAACAAGCATATCAATTTGACATAGTGATATCTTTTTCTTTCCTACACAGAGAGCACGAGAATAAATACAAGGCATACTACGGAAATTGATCCAGCAGTTCACAATTTTATTTTCTTTGTTTTTTTGAGTTGATTTTTTTTTGTTAATCAGTGAGTACCCAGCAGTTCAATATTATCTGTGACCTAGTTGACCTAGACAGGAGCACTATATGTCTTTTGAAAACCAAGCAAGTACTGCAATATAGCAAAGAGTTGGTTTATTGATACAGGCAGTTTGGGATGATTAGACACAGACGAGAAGTAACATAAAACCAACATGAGTACTAACTGGGAAGATCACTTATAAGCGGTGCTAACATCTATCACGTGGCCAGTCCGTACAGTTAGAAGATCCAACAAGTATAGTTGCTTAAACGAGAAAATGTTGGGAACAGCTTTTTGCCCTTCCAGAGGTAGAGGTAAGGCTGCGTACATCTTACCCTCCTCAGACCCCACTTGTGGGAAAATGCTGGGTTTTTTGTTGTTGTTGCGTAAACATGAAAATGTTGGGTAACAGGCTCTAAGTCCATTTCATTCAAAAAATAAATAAGGTAAACTAACTAGAAGTTATCTAAATTTCACACTAGTCCTAACTATATACAAATCTCAATAGCAAGAACAAAAAGAATCCAGACAAATTATAAACCAAATGTAAGTGCATTAGCTGATTTTGAAGATAATATAATGGAGCTGCTTTGAAGAGAAAGGAAATCATATTTTGAAGACAAAAGCTAATGTCTACTGCATATCATCTTTTGGTGTAATTTAGAGCTAGTAAGTGATGTTGAACTTTGGTAGACTTTATTAGTTCCCTGCACAATTAGAAGGGAACTATGTTTTGGTTTCTATTTTTTCGGATGTAATATAGCACCAATTTAGTGTTGATTTCATCGATAAAACTTACCTTTTGCTAAAAGAATATAAGTATATTGACAATAACTAATTAAACATGACTATTTGGTAACCCATTTAGATTATATTTTTTCCCCTAATGATGGGGTCCGAACAGGTATTGGGTAACTATGTCCGTTAATACTTATAATGTTGAAAAAGAATCAATATTTTTTGTAATTTCACATGATTTCAGCACATCCCTAAAAGAGCCTGTAACCTTACCTCTTTATTTTAAGTCTATAAATTGTTATTTTCTGACGAATTATCTATCAATATTTAATCAACTATATCCATGAATAACAAGAAATTGCCGTTGTTATTATTGTTGTTGTTGCTGAAGATAGTTATAGCTCGACAAAGGCGTTAGTTGGCCAAAATTTGAGGGATTTCTACTATTTGAGCTTAATTCTAGTTTCCCAAAGTTAGATTGCTTTTCACATTAGCACCTATCTCTAGGACTCGGTTTACAGGAAGTAACGCAGAGCTTTGTGCTGATCACCAATTTTGCAACTTGGGTTTTCCACAAGGATGTTATGAGGTAAAGGGGTCTTAAAGTTGTTCACTTAGCTCACTTTTGCACGACCAAAAGTTGAATTAAAAAGAGTGACAACATTCTTGAACTTGTGCTTCTCCAATTTTTCTATAAAATAAATTCTCATACTGATTCTGATCATGGGGCTTAGATAAAAGACCAATAATTCTATGACAAGTTTCAAATGCAGCCTTGTTAGCTATTTCTATTTCTTCCATTTCACCTCTCTCAACCCCCAAAAAACATAAAAATGATAGGGAGAAAAGGAGGAAAAACAAAGAAGGCAGAAACTTTAATTCACTTAAACCCACAAACACAAACAACAACACCTACTACTACGCCTTAGTCCCAAACAAGTTAAGCTCCGTTGTATATGAATCCTCACTGCTCTCAACCGAAAAATAAAATACACCACTCAAGATATAGGATACAGTCAACCTGAAAATTACGAGACAAAGGAAGGAAGGAAAACAGAAGCAATGGACATCATGATCGCAATACTAGCTAAAATATCAAGATTGAACTATATGAATGAAATTACAGAAAATAAAATATACCCAGATGAGAAATCAGCATGAAAAAAAGCAGTAATTGCATTGATAAAGGAAAAAAGCAATAACAATTAGATCTTTACACATTTAAAAAAAATAAACCAAGAAAAAAACAATAACAATTGGATCTTTACACATTTAAAAAAAATAAGCCAACCTTTGCAGTTAAAGCTTGTACTTTTGGAGTCACTATATCCAATCCTTCTTCCATCTCCTTTAGTATTGTAACTAATTGAGGAGCTTGCCTGTATAATTCATTCACATTCAAAAATTTCAATATTATTATTACCAGAACCCTAAAATACTAACAAAAAAAGAGAAATAACCTGCTTATTTTTTCGCTCGTCTCGAGAGATGTATTAGGCTCTGCCATATTTCACTGTCGCTATTGCTGTGGAAAAAGTTCTCCGCTGGTAACAATGGCGGTTTCTTGTTAGAAGGAGATGAAGCTGAAACGCAGGTTTTTGATGGCGAAGCAGGTTTGTACTGGGACTATGTAATTGGGCTTGTCTATCCTTTTATGAGACCGAAGTCCACAAATAGCCATTTAAGGACCCATATTTAAATAATAGTCAAATTTTACAAAATTTCTAAAGTTTAAGGACTATGCATAATTTGGTAAATATCGAATTACCATATCGAAACTGAAATTTTGGTATTTTGTATTCGGTATGGTATTTGGTTTAATTTTTTAAAAATAATTGGTAGATATTTTAAAATGAAATACCGATACCGTACCGAAATATATGTTATATTGCATGTCACACCTCCTTTTTACACCCCCTTATAAGGGAGTTTTTTCCAATTTAAGTGACAATCGAAACGGGATTATTTATTTAAAATTCAGAGTCGCCACTTGGGATAATTTATGGTGTCCCAATTCACCGGTTGAAATCCCGAATCGAGGAATGTTTGACTCTAATTATGGTCTGCGAACACAGAAATCCGGGTAAGGAATTCTGTTAACCCGGGAGAGGTGTTAGGCATTTCCGGGTTCCTTGGTTCTAGCACGGTCGCTTAAACTATTATTAATTGGCCTATTATCTGATTTACTACATGCTTTAAACCTATTATGCATTTTTAACTTTCTACCCGCTTTTAATGTTTTTAGGAAAAAGCATGATGGTTGAAAACACATCGTAAACCACGCTACATGAAATGCACAACACATTTTATTTTATTTAACAATATTGGAAATTAAAATCGGGTCACATGAAATGTACACCCGGATTCAGAAATTATATATCGCGACTACGCATTTCTACGCATATTCATACATCGGCAACTTCATTTGGCTTACTATGTAATATATGGTAGGAGGATTTGCTAGTGGAACAGTTTGATTAATGGCTGAAGTTATATATAACAGCTGTATCACTACTAATTTTTTATCATTCTCTCCAATAGTTCTCTCATACCTAAATAATACATTATGAGCTATGCTCCTACGAGTAACAGAACATGAAAAAAAAAGTAAAATAAAACTGAACAAACTGAATTAATTCAAGCAAATCTTAAACAAATAATGAGACATCATAACAATTATACATTATTCAAAAAAACATCAAAGATTGCAAACCAGAATCAGGTTTCAAGCTTTTAAAAGAACGTACATGGATTTCCAAGCAGAGACCAAATAAAGTTGCCGAATTCTGAAGCGGAACCGTGAACTACGAACGGAACTAATGAACGGACGATCTCGTCGGACCCGAACTTGAACCGACGACTGACCTAAACCTCGAACCTCAGTTTCCCATTTCCTACTCTGTTTTTTCTGCTACTGTGCGTGTGTTTGTGATCTTTCGAGAAGAAGAGAAGGCTGGTTTTGGAGATGAGGAGGTCTGGCGAAGATGGCAGCGGAGCTGGTTCAAGGGCGGCTCTAGGGCAAAGCAAATGAAGCTTTTGCCTTAGGCCCAAATATTTAAGGCCCCAGCAATATAAAGTACTGCTATATTATAATATTATATATATCATTTATATTCATAAAATTATTAATAAAATATTTTAAATTTTCTTAAAATTTGTAAAGATAATATTGAATGAGTTAGGATAAAACATTTCTCTCGCTAAATTAAATAATATATTTATCTTCTCAGCAATTCTATTTTTCTTTTTTTCTTTATTCATATTTTTTACTATTTTACTTTCTTATTTCAACTCAGATTCTCTCAATTAGTTATTCTTTTTTGTCACATTTAATTGATCCACACATCAGAAAGTAAATTCTTTTGTGTCTCACTTTTTTAAACTACGAAATCCACGAGACACGTGTCATAAGGTTCAAAACAAGATCGATTATAGGCTTAACCCTTTTATCATTTTCACTTAATGCTATATTTTTTATAGGGGATAGTTCAATACCATATAACGTGCGCCTAACCCACATATTATATGTTGTTCTCTCACACTTTTTTTTTGTCTCAATATGTGAATTTTATGAAAGAAATTTCAGGGTCTTTTAATATATTTTAGTTTTAAGCCACCAGTTTTGTTGAACCGTGTTGATTAATTATGAACAAGTATTTATAGATCACTGTCCTATGAACGTGTTACTCAACCAGCTTCATTCATATCGGGTTACTAAATAACACATTCACTGATTACTGTTTTATTTTAATTGAGACTCTATAAAATTTGATTGAGAATGCTCGAGTAGGAAATTAGTAACGCATTGATTTAGATTTCCAAAATTTCTTAATAATGGATTTTGTGATTTTATTTCAACTTGGACAGTATTAAAGTTTACCAAAAAAAGTACAAAAAAAAATTGGACAAAAGAAAGAAAGAAAGAAAGATTATCTACTCTTTAACACTAAAAATACTTTAGAAGTTTGAATTAAATTACTTAAATCTTCATATTAGTAAATACTTTTTTTACAACAATATCAAAGGTAATATATTGAAAATACATGTCTAACATATTTTTTATTTAAGTTATCTCTTACTAATATAGCTAATAATAATACTACTATGTGAAGTTAAAGGTTTTATCATTTAAGAATGTTATATTATAAATAACAAGTAGAAAAAAATTGGCAACACTAACTTTTTTCTGCATATGTGTGTGTATATATACAAATAAAAAAGTATAAAGTCTCTTATTATTAGGCCACTGATTTTATGGAGACGCCCGTGTCTACAGTACAACGTGTACCATTTTCTGATAGAATAAAGTGCAATGA